TTAGGTTTCACATGTTCTCAGCTAGTTCCGGCCTTCATCTATTTATTTTAATATGGCAGTTGCTTATTTCTCTTTGCCTTTTGGAGCTCATATAATTATGGTATTTAGCATTTAATGGGGTGATATCTCTTGTAGATTGTTTTTTTTCCAAAATCTTATGTCTTCTTCCAGTTAAGTCATTACTGTAACTTTATCTCCAACCTGTAATATTATTTATTGTTAGATTAAGCACACTTTAGGTTGAATTCAAGATGTTCTTCATATCCAGCATCCGTTTGGGAATTTTTATCTTCAATTTCTTTGGTGTAGAATACCTTGCGCTTATGTAACTTTTTACTATCTTAAACTTATTTTGATGTGGTGAGATTCTCTACTTTCATTATGATTCCTCTTATTCTCCATTCGTTGTGTGTTACCTAGTCCAAATTTTTGTCATTACTTTTGCCCTCTGGAAATTTGTCTTTTTCTTTGGTAAACTCCATCTTAATGCTGCCTGCAGTTACTGTTCATTTATCTTGTTGCATTCTCCGGTTTGCCTGCAGGTGGCGCTTTAGTGTTGGAATTCTCTCACCAGTCTGGGGCCTTGAACCATTAGGGTTAGGGGTAATGGTGACAAGAAAAAAAAATTTTGAATCAAACTATCATGGTGTTGCCAGTGGAAAGTGTGGGGAACAGCTCAGAGGAGTACCACAATACCTATCTCTTACTTCCTACCAAAAGTCAGTATTAAGGTTAGCCTCTGTCTCTTGGCCAAGGCCTGGTGGTTTCTCTATACCCAGGTAGAGGGGGCAGGAATTCAGAGGTTCAGTGGATGTTAACCTTAAACACCAGGACTCAGGGCTTTATTTTTCTCCTCCAAGTGTCTGGTTTTTGAAAATTGTGCGCTATTTCATTGTCGAATGGGGTGGACTGTTGTATTTCTGTAGTCTTGAACCCCATACTTTGATGAACCCCCAACGGCACAGCTTTAAAGAAAGGGGGCACCTATCTGTCCAACTCGGCTGGGAGGCTTTTTCTGTGATACACAGTTTCAATCCTGGTTGGTTGTTCTTTAGCTGGGAACTTTCTGTGCCTGCATCTATTCTACAACTTCACTGAAATTTTCTCTCTTGGCTGGAGTTAGACATCTGAAGCCAGGATTTCAAGAACTTGTTGGACAGAGGCATAATACAAAGAAGCCAGCAAACCTCAGTTGTTCTTATTTTAACATCAGCTTGGTCTAGTACAATAAATAAAAGAATAAAATATGGTCAGTGTTTGTCCCTACCACTAATGCGAAACTTGCAAATATTTTTCGGTTCACCATTAAAGATAAGTAACTATCATTTTCCTTTTACAAAAAAAAAAAAACACAACTTATTTTTTCACTAACATAGATAAGTAGAAGCTGGGAATGGGAAAAAGCAAAATGATCCATGTTCCCATTTTCCATCCTGATTTACCACACCAGCTTCTGAATTTTTCATAAGCAGCAGAAAAATGATCGTAATGTTCTCAGTTCTCTTTGCTAGCAGTAAAGAAAGAGGCAGCTTCGGATTAAGAACAAAAAAATACAGCTCTAAAGAATTTATTGTTTTTTAATAAACATTTAATTTGCTGAGGTTTTCATTTTTTATTAAAGTGTTTACTTATAAGGTATACATGAGTTAACATTAAAATAGGACTGGCCAAAGGGAAAATATTTCTTACTCAAACTTTAATTAGCAAAAAATTTCTGAAGGCAGTTCATCTTTAAATCACTTTAAGCTTGAACTTATTTCACTCTAATAGAATCATGAATATTAAAATCCTGGGACAGAAATTACAATGTTTCAGTAATTTAGATTTTATCATTTGAATAAGAAAATCTAAACATCTTGACTAGCAATTCTAATCCTAGCCTAAAAAAGTTGAGGAAAAAGACTGACTTTACATTTAGAATTATTTTTAGCAACATTCAAGTTAGGGACTGTCATCCATCCCTACCTTATCTAACTATAACATGACGGTTTCATTAAACTGTTAAAATATCATCTTTAACTGACAATGTATGTCACATCTCCTCCTATTAGCAAATAATTTGATGGCATAATGTGAAACACTCCACATGAAGCCTCTTGCTCAGCTTTTAAGCTTTTGTTCCCTGGCACACTTACCTGCCTGATTCTACACATTCAAGACTATTTTAAGTTGGCAGAAAGTATGGGGCCCTTTAACAGTGAATTCTGCCTTAAAAATACTCCCAGTATCATTTGTCTTGAGGAATTAGTTCAAATAACACTTCATATTTCAAGTCTCCCAGTATCCCCAGAGTACTTTTCCCCCATTACATTGATCAAAACAACAATTATGTTAACATGTCTTTCCTACGTTCTCCACCAACTCACCACACACACACACACACACACACACACACACACACACATTCCTATGTGTGTATTCAATATTTAGGTGCTTAATGTTTCTCTTTAATAAAAGTTCAAGTTTTAAAGGTATTCATTTTCTCTGAAAAATCTCATTTTTTTTTGAGAGTTGAGAAAACACTGCAATGAGTATCTTACCACTTACAATCCAAGTATATTAGAAATTAATTTTCCTGAAATGATTAGACCAAAAAGACTATTTCTGAAGTCTAAGAACATTGCACACAGCTAGCATGGATAAAATTCTAAAATATGGAGAATTTACATTAAAAAAGGCAAAAATTGTCCTAAAAAAAGAATATGTTTATCAAACACTCACTTTCATCTAGGCATTTAATTAAGCCATTTATTGCTTCAAATGTGTCACCATGAACATTTAATATACACTCCACAGCAGTAAGGCCTCAATTTTTACCACCTATAGTGAACCCACATTTGGATATTTTGTGCCACCAACTATTAACGCAAGTTTTGTACAATGAAAATTTTGAATGTGTATTTTGTATTACCAAAAATGCATGTTACACCCTTGGTGTAAATGACACACAGATTTATAATTGGCCAGATTCCCTTTCTCGATGAGGTAGTTGCATGTTTGGCCCAATGTAGAAATATCTCAGATATTACACGTTGCACCCATTACTAAATAACGGCACAAAACTCTTATTTACTTTTCTACACACACACACCTCACAAAATATTCAGTGCTTATGTTTAAAATTTGTCACAATATTTTCTGAGAGATTTGGTAACCGGTGGAATACATACACGGAAAGTGGCTTAGCAGTTGAAAATAGGGATATTTCTGATCCTGATAAGGAACTTCTTCTTAAAGTAAGGCTGTACATAAGGCTTTTTTTTTCTATTGATTACTAGAAAACGAATGAGCTTGGAAGCCATTATATATAACTACATTAAATGATCCGAGCATCTCCAGGCAACATGCTAACGACCTAATACTAATTTCTATATTATTTTGTTTGTTTTGGGGGGACACACCTGGAGGTGCTCAGGGCTTACATGGCACAGTGCTTGGGGAACCATATGGAGTGACAGGGTTTGAAGCAAGGTCGGCTACATGCAATGCACGTGCCTTACCTGTTGTATTATTTTGCTGGCCTCTATTTTATAAAAGTTAATAAAATCTGCATGAAAATACTAAGCTTCATGACATCATGATACTTGTGACAATATGAAATTACGAGTATACACAAACAAACCGGTATTTTGTGGGCTTGCCACAGTGCTGAAACAGAGCACAGCAATTCGAATCGTGGAAACAAGCTGGAAGAGATCTTAGAGGACCCCTTATTTCATCTATATCCTTCTGAATAACACTGTATTTTAGTTTTCTGAGTTAAGATGTAAGAAGCTTGTAAGTCATTTTGAATAAAGCAGAAATCTGATGGACCCAGTAAGTCTCACTATAAAAGAAATATGACCTAAGTGTTTTCAAAGTTGTAAAGGTTTGTCTACGACTAGAATCAATGTTATATCTTAAATCAAACCTCCGCGACAGAAAATTTATCTTTTAAATAGCACCTAGAGAACAAAACCTTCACAGACATCCTGCCGCCACCATACCTGGTTTGAACAGTTCAGAATTTGAATTAGCTATCATACCAGTATGTGGTGAATAAAAACTGGAGCTGAATTTTAAGCTCCAATCAGGGGGTCTCTACTTAGTTAGCCACTGCTTCAAGTCAAAGCAACTATAACCATTATTTTCATTTTATCTGATGTAGATTCCTTTTCAAATCCCTTAGACTGAAAGAAAAGTCAGAGAGATGTTCTAGAAAAATACATTTGCATTTCAAATATACATTTAAAATGTCTTTCCCTTATTTTCACATTATAAATTCAAAGCATAAGTATAGAAATTACAGAGTACACAGCATTCTGTGTTCTGGACCCTTTCAGATTATGAAACTGGAAATTAATTGGAATTAAGAAATTTTCCTCATTAAGCATGTAAAGTATAAATACAAGTAATTTTTTAAAAACTTTATTTTAACACCTAATACAATTCCAATTTTAAGGATTACTCGCACAAAAAAATAAACACATTTGGTATAAAAATGTATCACTTTAACACCCTCTCCCCTTTCAGCCCTCCCCCCGCCCTCATGAACTGCACTCTATCTGGATGCAGAAACATATAAAGACTAATGGCACAAATTTGTTTTTACCTACAGGAGTTTCTGTTTATGTACCCAGGTACTCTAGAGGATACCAGCCCACTTTATCACATAAACCATTTCCTTCAGCCTGCTGAATTTAGTTTCGCAAAGAAACAAATCTTATAATAAAGGCATTTTAAAAACCATTATCTTAAATTCTTTTTTAGAAGCACTGACTTTTTTGCAACCATTTATATACAGTGTTACATAACAGCTCTGGAGTACAGTACATGCAGCAGAATATACCTGTTGAATATAAAATACTTTTCTTAAAATCTTCATCGTTGGAATTTATCGAAGTCTAAATTATAGAATGCCCATTACTTTGAGAAAAATGGTCGAGGAGTACAAATGTCTGCATATGTCGGCCACTGAAATAATCCAAGGCTAACGGGAATAATATTCATCGCACACCAGGAGTGCATAAATAATTTACTTACATTATTAAAATACAACCCATAAAATTCAAGTTCAAGATCTTATAGGATTGTCTATGTAAATCCTTGAAATAGTTGCCTGAAAATGCACTGTCTCTTCTTTCCCTTTTTGTCTTTTTTAAGTCCTATATAAAATTGGAGCTGAAGCGGTCTTCTCCTCAGGTGAAATGACCCCCTTATTTGTGCCGACTGCCCCTCCTCTTCATTGCAGCGGTGCACTGTGGACAGTACCATTTGCCTTTGGGAGCTTCTGTCAACCCAACACATCCGTAGTGGAACCACTCTATAGGGCACTGGAAAGCAAAACGTGAGACCAGTTTTAGTTTTCAGTTGAATGTTTACATTTTTGGCAACTACTGAGGTGTGAAACCAGGGCTTCTCACATGTAAGTGTTCATGGGCAACATCCACCACTTAGTAACTCTAAAGGCTGGAAAATACATTAAAATATGCCTGGTCGGGAGGGGAAAGAGTACAGCGGAAAGACTCTTGCTACGCATGCGGCAAGAATCTTGTTTGATTCCCAGCACTTCATAAAGTTCCCTTTATTTATATTTTATTTTTTGGGGGGGGAGGGTAGCAGTGGGGGAAATCACACCTAGCCGTACTCAGGATGTGCTCCCCCCCACAGCTCTGCACTCAGAGATCACTCTTGGAGGAGCTCAGGAGACCAGATGGGATGCTGCGTGTACTATCACTCTCGTGGTACTATCACTCCAGCCGCTCATACAGTCCCCTAGAGCACAGCCAGGGCTGATCTCTGAGTGCAGGGCCAGAAGTAAGCCCTGAGCACAGACTGGTGTGGCCCCAAAAATCAAAAAAAAAAAAATATCCTTGAAAAAGAATTATTTATTTTAATATTAATAATTAGATCGAAGTAAACTGAATGTTTAGGTCTAACAATTGATTTACAGATAATTTAATTCAACTGAGACATGAAGTCATAGAAAAAAAAAGCATAGAAAAATTACGAATCTTGGTTAACACTGAGGCTCAAGTAATCTATTCTCATAATCCGAAATCAAAAACCAAGGTTCACCAATTCTCACAAAGCTGGAGAATAAGTTGATACCAACTTTGAAGATGAAGATAGGTCTCTTACACAAAAGGCAAATGTATTCTGAATATGTTACTAACACTCAACCCTATTTAGTCCTCATAAAGTAGAATAAGCAAGTTGTAATTAAAGACATAAAGGATGCGCTGGATTTTCTTTCTGAGTCTATCTATTTCTAGATGATTAGAGAAAAAGTATTCTCCTCTGCAGTAAGCAAGTTGTAATTAAAGACATAATGGGATGGCCTGGGTTTTCTGAGTACATCTATTCCAAGATGATGAGAGAGGAAGTATTGTACTCTGCAGTGTATTAAGCAGCGCTTACATTTCCCCAGGAAACTTAGCACTCCAACCACATAGCACAACTGGGAAGGAGGCATCAGAGAGAGAATGAGTCTCATTCATCAGCTTCACGAACCCCCAAAAGACAGTTTACAAGGTGTTCTTGAAATGGTTAGATGCTGTTTTGTGTAATAATCACCAACAGCCCACTAGGGGTCTAAAGAGGGGAACAGAAGGACAGTCTCTAAGTGAACATGTTGCTGGGACCTGGTCAGGTCACCAAAGTGCAAACCTACATGCGACCCAGCCAACCCTTCTCAATCTTCAGACCGTAGAAAGCACTCATTCTAAGTCTACCGACTTAAACATCACTTAGCACTATTTCCACAGAATTCAGGGTTCTCTACATGCCTTTGGAATGTAGGCAGAGGCAGAACTGTATGAAAGTAAGGATGGAGTGAAAAATGTAAGACAAAAACACCCTCAATTGCAGCCAGAGATAAAGATCTGTAATCAAAATTATGCTTCCTAATAAAGAACCAAGCACCCCTTTCTTCCAAATCTCCCAGTTTTATCTATTTATTTTTTGTGCTTTACCCAGCTGTGCTCAGGGTTTACTTGTGGAGATCCCTCCTGGTGGGTTCAGAGGACCATACGTGATGCCAGGGATCAAACTGAGTCAGATGTGGGCAAGGCAACTGTACTATATATCTCTTGCCCCCAAATCTCCAATTTTATTTCAGATTAGGCACTAACCAGGAGATACCTACAGAGGTCAGTAAGAAATACTATTCTTCAGGAAGGAACATCATTTCAAATTAGAGTCTCAATTTTCACCCTTCACCTTAGTAGCATGCCTTCTGTAAAACAGCTGGCCTGAAAATTTGAACTCCTCACTTTAATAAGTGAACTGGATTCCAGTAAACACAATTATAATCAGGTAAAGGGAAAGGAGACTGCTTCTCATTGTCATACAATTACCTTTTAAGAAATATAATCTGCATATAAAACCAAAAATTTTGCCTTAAAAATTAAAGGAATGTAGTTCTAAGAGATACAATTCTATTTTAGTGAAGACTATTCTTGCAGACTATTCTTGCATTAATAAAGGATAATCAATACAAGTATAAATCCTTTTTCTTAGACTGATTCAATAAATAAGACAGAAAGTAATAATTTTCAATTTTTTCATTTGCAAAAGAAAAAATGTAATACTTACATCTTGGTTATCACAGCCTACCATTTCACCATAGGATACCTAATAAAGAAAAAAATTAAATAATTGTATTTTCATTAGAACCACCTAACAAGCATGTGAATATAAATTATGAATAATACTGTCAGAAAATAAAAGGGAAAACAAAAAGTATTCAACTTCATCAAGACACAAATTATGTAATTTTATGGAGTTTTGATTTTTCTTCAAGAATATTTTAGAGCAGGACACAAGTGGAGACACACATAAATTTCTTGCTCTTTCAAAGTCTGGATGTCACCTTTGTGATTGGTTCCTTCTTATGTAAGGATGTTAAGTTTCTTTCTAGTTATTTGCCTACTTAAGGCTTTTACCTTTCTTAGTTCATATTAAGATATTTATATTTCTGCACATGGCAGAGCCTGGCAAGCTACCCCATGGCGTATTTGATATGCCAAAACCAGTAACAATAACGGGCCTCATTCTCCTAACACCGAAAGAGCCTCCGAAACGGCAGTGTTGGGAAGGACGAGTAAGGAGAGGCTGCTAAAATCTTAGGGCTGGGACGAATGGAGACGTTACTGGCTCCTGCTAGAGTAAACTGTGAACAACAGAACGATCATGATACAGTGATATAGTGATTATATTTTTGCAGTCAACAATCCACTTCTCTGAAACTTAAATTTATCTGTGTCCTTTCTAAGTTTTATGTTTCCTAACCATCACCAGCACTTTCTCACTCTAACTTGCAATTTCTTGCATCCATTTAAGTTTACAATGGACTTACTTGTTAGATAGGGTTAACTAGATCATACTTCCCGACTCTCTGAATGATAAGACTATCTGTATATATTCTATGGGCATGAAGAATAATCTCAGTGCATACCAATTTTGGGAAATACCACTGGATGTCTTATTCCTTCAAGTCTCATAGATATTTTGTATTTTCAATTTTTGTATTGTGCTCGGGAGATCACACAGGGCACTAGAGACAGAATGTGGGCTGGCTGCAGTCAAGGCAAGTGTCCCTTCTGCTTCACTATCACTCTGGCCCACTAGACAATCTACTTTTGTCAATATTCTTTTTTTAGTCATCAATATAAAACTGATTACTGGAAGGTAACAAAGCAATGAACGTAAGTGGCAAGTTCTTAAAACTATGTTGGCTACTCACTCCAATAAACATAACAAACTGCAGACAAATGTATAAAAGATTTATTGTGGAGAAACTGAAGCATCTCAAGAAGTAGAAAAAAACATTTAAAGCAGACATCTTTAAGATGGGAAAAGGGAAGGATGCCTTCCTAAAGCACATAATCCATGGCTAATTCCAAAAAGAAAAAGGCTTTACATAGTCAATACTACATAAAATTACAGAATTTTAAAAAAGGAAATCAAAATATATAGAACGTTACAAAAAAAAAAAAAGGTTCAAAAAACCAGCTAGCACCACTAGTCAATTCCAAGGATAAATTAAACAAAACTAAACAAAACAAAACAAAAAACCCTCCAAAAGGTCTCATCTTACTACCAATATAAATTAAAATTACTTCATGGTGCAAAATTATCTTTTTTCTAGTTTATTCAAATCATGCTTTTATAAAAATATACCGAATTTTTACCTGATTACAGATGCAATATCGTGGTTCATTTGGGTCATAAGTCCAATCAACTTGGCTATTTGAATCTGATTCTGGTACTACTGTGGCTTGTTGAGAGATTTCTTGTACAACAGTTGACGATGAAGAACATGAAGATAATGAAGAGGATGAGGAAGAAGATGACGACTGCTGGCTTGAAGATTTGTTGTTATTTCTGGAAAATAAAATTTTAGTCTTATTTGCTCATTGTTTAATAAAAGGACCTAGTAACTCGTAAGGGGTACAAAATAAGGCATCATAAAATACAATCATATCTAAAAAGATAAAGTAATTGGATAAACAGATTTTAGAAGCATATTTGTTGGGCAAAACAAAGAACATGATTTTTAATAGTGCTTGGAATTGCGTGTGTGTGTGTGTGTGTGTGTGTGTGTGTGTCTGTGTGTGCAGTTTGCTTTTCTGACTTGGGCTTTACCCAGCGGTGCTTGCACAGAGATTACTCCTGGCTCTGTGCTCAGAGAACACTCTTGTGCCTAGAGGACTATATGTTGGACCAGGGATTGAAACAAGGTGAGCAGCCTGTAAGCCACACCCCCGTACTAAATTTCTGGTTCCTAAACATTTTTTAATAGGGGTTACAGCCAACAGTGCTAGGTTTGTTTTTAGTGTGGGGATTGAACTCAGGCCTGCATATACCAATCATGCTCTCCAACTTGACCTATCCTCTGAGGTCTAAAATAAAGTTTTAACCAGTTGACTTAAACTGTAGTATTTATAAGTATATTAGTATTAATCAGTAATATCTTACTTTCTTTAGACATTTAAGCAACAATACTCATGGTCAAAATCTAATATAAATATACAAACATTCTAATGTGAAAGAGCATGTGATCAAAAACACGTGGAATACTTACCTATGTAGGGCCGAAAGCAGAGAGGTAAAAATCACAAGTAATTTGCCATAATTTATAAATCAAAAATTTAAAATACAGAATTTATTATAAGCAACTGAATCATTATTATGGAAAAATTTCAAATACCTGGCTTTTGGGGGGTAATTACATCTTAAACATACATTTAGGAATTTAAAAATATCCTGTTTGGCATGGGAAGAGATAATATAGTAGGGAAGAGGTTTGCTCTGCAACCAGTTCAACCCTGGTGCCATGATGGTCCACTGATCAACACTAAGAGTGACCTCTGAGCACAGAATCAGGAGTAAGCCATGAGCACAGGCAGGTGTAGCCCAAAAACAAAAAGAAAAACAAAAATATACTTTAATTTATAATAATTTTTATGAGAAATACCCAGCATGTGGAGATACTTGGATTATGGTACAAAATGCTATTAAATGATCCTATTTTAAAGTTCAGAGAATCACTCAGTCTCATACCCAAAATGTAGAAATACTTAAATAATTTCAAGTTTTTGAGACATAAAATGCACTCAACATAAAATCCAGTTTTGAAAAATTCCCAAGATATAATTTATATTTTATAAATTTACCTTGAAACACACTACAAAGTAATTTATAAAAGTTATAAATGAAAACAGTACCAGAAAGGTCTTTTCTTATGAACAAAAGAAAATAATTAGAAGTAGTTTATCAAACCCAAGTTATGCCTCTTAAAAGTCTTACCACTTTTTTAACGCTTCATCCATTCAAAGTCTGACAGTGATTATATAAATGTTATTACTTCTTAGTCCCTCCAAAGTTCACCCTGTCCCAATATATGCTACTCTTGCTTAGTATACGAAAGCCCTGCTGGACACAGAGTAGACTGCATGCTTAGCAGAGGTGCAGTGCTACTGTGACAACGTAACTTACTTGCTCTTTCTCCCACTCCGTGAGTCGGCTGCTGATGAACTGGCATTCTGTGTTAATGTAGTCATGAGCGCTGAAGATGATGAATAGCCAGTTGTTTCCCTGGGCATTGAAAATTCTTTTCCCAACTGAAAGTCATTATTCTTAAATGCTTCATAACTGGCTTTTAAACTTGATGTTCGTCGTCCCTCTTTCATCTTAAATAGACATTTATTGATAGAATTAATATCCATAAGTATGTGGACTCTCGCTTATAAGTCTTACTAGCTCAAGCATGATTTTGTTTAATCAAACATTTATTTATTTATTCAGGAAAGGTCAGAGTACATGCCTGGCAGTTCTTGGTTTTATATATGGTGCCAGGGATCAAACCAGGTATCAGCACATACAAGGCAAGCTATACTAATTCTCTGACACCCTTAAATATTTATTCTGTTTCATCACTAAGACTTAAGTGATGATGTTCTTACACTACATTTTATGTAAGGATCTAAAATCACTTTTTACAGTGTAAACAGGCAAATATAGGATGGATGAGGAACCTAATTTTGAATATGAATAAATTGACAGAGTAGAACAGGTTTTAGGCAATAGAGGCTACAGAGAAAACTGGAAGTGGAAAGGAACTCCGTCCCTTCAAACGCAATTATAATCAAGAACAAGAGCAATTACTATATATGGATTTACATGCGATAACAAGTACCTTTTTTCACTTTTTCATTAGCAGACAATCTCCACATATTCAATTCACTAGACAAAATGTCAGACATCATAAAACCATGATTTAAACATGGAACCACACCATTAGTCCAACTTCTTTTGTTTCCACCCAGCTGTTTGTGTCACAGTTTCCTTTTACCTGCGCTGTAGCTTGGACCGCCTGGGCTGCTGCCATGGTGATTGCCCCTGCACCAGTTCCTGAAGATAACGAGCCAATATTATAGGATGCCAGAGGTTGCGAGGAATTCACATTATAAGCACTGTTGGAGGAGGTCGTAGAATTATTATTTCGACAACCTGCAGAGGAATGAAGAAAAAAATTAAATGGTTAAAGAGAACATGATGATTGTGGGGATAAAATTATTTCCCAGCACAGATATAATTATTAAATTCAAATTTTTCAGGTAGGTGACTATAAAACTTTGTCACAATTGTCTTTTTTCTTCATTCTACAGCTGTGAATTTGCATCGGCTAAAGAATCTGTAAGATTTATCAATTCCAAATGCTTCCATTTCCTCTAATTTTAATACAAAAGCAGAAACAATCATATTTAAGATCTTAAATTACCCAGTGTATTTTCCTTAGAGGCATCTGATGTAAGAGTAGATAGAAGAGCTTCAGCTTTAATCTTCTTTTCAGGAATATGATCTGTTGTTGTATGATGAGATGATGGATTATATTTCCTTTCTGAATATAAAGAAAGAAATCATGTGTTTTTAAGTTTTAGAGAACTATAGATAGGCATCATACTCACAGCCAGTAACAAAAACATACAGTTATGATCTAAGTTCCTCGTGAAGTACAAAACATTGTCCTTTTAGAAAACAGTATAAACAGAGCTCACTGTTGTACCTGTTTTATTAACAACAGTTTTCCCAAACCAAAAACATTCAGGAGTGCTGGAGAGGTAGATGGGTTAAGGTGTTTGCCTTGTACATGCCAACCTCAACTCAACCTCCAGTACCCATTCTGGTCCACCCAAGCAACAAATTATGTGAGCCTGGAGCTACGAGCGTGAGCGGCCAGGTGTGACCCAGAAGCAAGCAACCCCCTCCCCCAACCCCGAGGGGGGGGGGGGGGAACAGGGTTTATGAGCTAAGGAGAGAGGTTAAAAGGTTTTAACAGATGCTTTGTATGGTAAAGTCCTGAGTTCAATCGAAGGCACTGGATTGAATTTGGAGGCCACATGAGCACCCAGGGAGGCCATAGTGACCAATCACCACTAGGCCCTTCTAGCATCTTATCACCTGGCCTAACAACTGAACCCCTTGCTAGGTCTACTAAAGTAAATCACTGGAAGAGGCACCAGGCCTTGTAGAAATTGTCTGAAAGAAACTCCTCCTCTCAAAAAAAATTTCAGTAACAAAGTATTGAAATGATAAATCCGAGAAGCAGTATACTTTCACATATATGTGAAACTCATTTTCAAAAGATTATCTGTGATTTAGAATAGTTTCCAATCACCCATATCATTTAAAATTGATTTGTCAAAAAAAAAAATTAAGCCTAGTTACTTAGCCAATTTAGACTTTGCATTTACTAACTCATCAACTGTTTGAGACTTTTATTGTTTGTAAAACATTACAGTTAACCACAAGTAGAGAACAAGGACAAAAAAGAAAGTTCATTAGGAAGAGATTACTACTTTGTTTCTTTGCAATGCTCCCTAAGAAAATCAGGAAACTCTTTGTAAGGGAGTATGTTCTGCTATTTATTCTATACGCCTTCCCTTTACAAATTGCAGGAAAAATAGAATACTTGTTCCCAAATCAAACATGCTTTTTAACCAAAGGAAGAAAATAAATCTACCAAAAACTGCAATAAAAAAAATATATTTCAGAAAACAAAAGATAACTGTGTTTCGCAGCTGAGTAGTGCAAGAGAATACAGAGACAATAGAATGATTTTTAAAAAATTGTATCTAAAAACTTAGTTGCACCAAGTTAAACTTACTTTCCACTGGAGTGTGTGAATGAGCATGGTGATTGTTCACTGGCTGTGAAGGAGTATCTAATTCCAAAGATCCTAAATCAAGAAAGAGGCAGAAATATATACCACCAAATGCATGTCACCATCGAACCTTACCCATAAATCAACTTATACACTGTGTTCCCTTACCCAGCTGAGAACTAGTAAGCTGATGCATATGCCCAGATCATTTCTGACAAACACATTTGATGGTTACCACTGCCATTTCATTTTCTCTCTCAACAGTACACACTCCATTTCTCAATGTTCGTCTTAAGTAAAAAACTGCTCAAGGCACACACACTAATGTCTAATTAGGGAATTTATCACAGTGAGGTTTAAATGGATTTTTTTTAACTCCATGATAAGTAACATCTAAAAAAACATAACCAAGTTTTACCAAGTTGAAGACTTTTTAATGGAAGATCTTAACATACTGAGTGAGGGGAGAGTATTGTATGAAAGAAAACGATTCATTAAAATGACACATTTTAATAAAGACTTTCAAAAAGAAGTTAGGGATTTTTGCTTATGGAAAATGAAACACAGGGTCTTTATTGCATTAAAACGATTTATAAAAAATGTTCAGGGTTTATCTTGATCCCTTGAGATGAAATTATGGCAGGGCAGAATGTGGAGCAGTTCTGCAATTTGATCCAGTTTAATTTCATATGTCTGTGTCTTACCAAGGATGCTTCATTAACCTTCCTGCAGCTCTGAATAGGCATGAATTACCATTATTCACAGCTATTGTCAGCATTCTAAAAACAGATGCAGCTATACATGATGCTATTTTGTTTCAAAATACTTATTCTTAGATAGGATTTCCCTAAAAGTATCACAAATAAATCAGATCAGTGATTTCTGACTGCTGGCCCATAGACTGATGCCAGTCCACAGATGTAAAAAGGTCAAAAACCACCGAATCAGATGATCACATAAAGATACAGAACTATGTCTGAATATAAACGGATTACAAAATGGGTTCCAGACTGGTTACATCTGATTGCTAATAACTTTATACCCAGAGATACATATTCTTAGACTTATAAATTTTTCATATGGGTGTAGAAATTTGTGCATGGTCTCACTTTTGAAAAGAACCAAGAGGAGAGAGGATGTTTAAGCTTTTTTAGTTTCAGAAGAAATAAGTGATAACACTGAACTGGTTCTTGAGTTACTGCCTTCTTTGAAATTGCCACTTCACTATCCGCTTTGAGGTCTATCATCTATTTAGATGGGAAGAGATGCGAAATTCGTTAAAGTAGCAGAGTCCTAACTCCATTTGGGGGAAGTATCCTGAATTAAATCCAAGAAGTGATAATTATAGCAAGAGATTAAGTTGAGCCTTGAGAAGAAATATTAAAATGGTTTCTTGCTGATAAGAATATATTTGGGGAAAATGTATTTGAGAAAAGAAGTGAAGTGAAACCGATTAAAATCATCCTCAGTGATATGGCTGAGGGAAAGTCCTAAAGTAGTTCTTACAAAGAAAAACGAACAACCTTCATCAAACCTTAAGTGTATATATAAGCAAGCAAGTCAATACATCTGACAGCAGGGTTACGTTTTTCTAGACAATCATTTGAAAACTCTTTGTTACCACTTATCTTGCCAATTTATTAAAACAGGGAATGTTCCAATAATTTATTTTCAAAAAAAGATGAGTCGATGATATCCTATATCACATCTCTCAGTATAACCCAAACAATCTCAACTCCTAGTGTCCATGGTACTCAACCCAACAGCCAACATCCATTGCAGTGCAGAATTAGAGAAGTGTTTGGACAAGTGAGATTACTCAGTGACTCCCAAAAGTACTGTCCAACATTGATGTAAAACGGTAAATTTTACTTACGCCTCTCTAATATTTCTGTAATTCCAGCATTATCAGCTTCCAGCTCCATTTTAAACTTAGCCAGTTCCTGATCCAGCTTTCTCAAGTGCCGATCTACCTGTTTCAAAGAAAATCAAAGATAACCACCAAAAGTTGAGACACTATTAAAGTGTCAGTTTAATGCACTGTAGCACTGTCCTCCCACTGTTCATAAATTTGCTCAAGCGGGCACCAGTAACATCTCTATTGTGAGACTTGTTGTTACTGTTTTTGGCATATCAAATACGTCATGGGGAGCTTGCCAGGCTCTGCCGTGCATTCAGGATATCGGTAGTTTGCCGGTATGTCCGAGAAGGGCAGAGGAATCGAACCTGGGTTGGCCATGTGCAAGGCAAATGTCCTACCCGCCGTGCTATCGCTCCAGCCCGTCAGTTTAATGAGGAAACCTAAATCCATTTGGGTTTTTTTTAAATAAATTTGTTTTATATCCTAGAGCCAGTTAATTAACCTATATGAAAACTTATATCCAAAATTTTTTTAAAGGTGGGGGGAGTGCTAGTCTGAATAATCTCCCACCTCCTCTTAGAAATTACAATTTTTAAGAGAACAGAATTGTAATGTTAGAAGCGCTTGGAAGAAGTAAAATATCTCATTAAAGTACAACTCCTATTTGGAATTTAAAGAAGAAATAAGTGCAGGAGGGCAGGGTACTTGGTTTATCTTCTGCCTAATCTCCTCCAACATATAGCAAAAGCAGACACACTGGTATACAATAACTACTTTCTAGAAAAATGAAGTTAAAGATTGTTAGTCTACAAAGAGGCTACAATGTTCAACATATAAATTTCTTTAGAATAGGAAAAGCATCCCATTATACTCCATAAAAAAGGTTGAAACAAAAAAGGGTGTCAGCCAAAAACTCCCCATCTCCCAGTGATTCTGATTACAACGGCTTTAATAAAAGTTATTGCTTTTGTTAAGGTTGCAGGATTGTTTTTTAATCTTTGGATTAAATTCAGATATTATTCAAAACCTCAAATTAGCAAAATATTACCATTTTTGTTAAGCTTAATGTTAGATATTTTAAAAAATACTTTCAAATTTACTATTTGGAATAAAATCAGAAGACATAAAAATGTTTTTAAAAATTTAATTTGTATTCATAAAAACATTTTGTATTTTTTCAAACTTCAGTTTCCCACTGGATTACTATTATAATTTTAGAGAAACTTTTGCACAGATATAAAAATATTCATGATTTATCATGGGGAAACAGTCAAATAGGACTTTCAAGTAAACAATATGTATATAGAATGAAGGCAAAAAAAGAGAACACAGCAAGAAATAAGTCGAATGTGTAAGGTGTCAGGTAATTTCCTGGTAGATTAGACTGTCTAATTTTTTACCTCTTACTCTAATCTTTAAAAATAGTTAATTACTGTCTCATTTTAAAAGTGAGGAAACTAGGATTTATAAGGGCTATGTAGCAATAGCTAATGCATTACAGAAACAAAATTAAAATCTGCTCTGTCATGGAAGTAAGTTTTTATCATTTACATGTAACACTGTCCTCTAAACCACCTGTCAACTTGTAGGACTCAAATGTCCAACTCACAAGCAACATAATTTGAATTAAAAAAAGGAATACTGGGGCTGGAGCAATAGCACAGCGAGTAGGGCATCTGCCTTGCACGTGGCCGACCCAGGTTCGATTCCCAGCATCCCATATGGTCCCCTGAGCACCGCCAGGAGTGATTCCTGAGTGCAGAGCCAGGAGTAACCCCTGTGCATCACCGGGTGTGACCCAAAAAGAAAAAAAAAAAGAATACTGTCATATTATTTGTATTTGTATATTTTGTATATTAATAACAGCTGTAGTGCTGGTCTGTTATTTTTTTGAATAATTTTAAAGCTTAATTTTCCCTCCCTAACTATATTAAAATCCTGTAGTTACATTATGATTATTTTATTTCATTCAAAACTCCTGCAGATAACTGAGCATCCGTTAACGGAATCTCCCTTCCAATAATGGAATTTAACACAGAACTCAGTTATTCAAAAATATCTTATACATTGTCAAAATTTAATCTCAACGGAAATTGTTCAAATTCCAAGACCACTTAATGCAGCGGAAATACACAACCATTTATCTTACAGGCAGTGGTACTACTAATTAATAGTGGAATTCTGGGGCTGGAGAGACAGTACAGTGGGTAAGGCAAGCTTGCCTTGCCCACCACCATCCCGGGTTGGATATCCGGCAAAACATATGGTCCCCCAGAGCACCTTCAGGAGGGACTCCTGAGTGCAGAGCCAAGAGTAACTAATCCCTAAATGCTGCCAGGTGTGGGCGAAAACAAACAAACAAACAAACAAAATAAAAATAAACGTGGAATGCCTATTGCTTGTTAGGTGCTGGGATAAACAGGATCAACATGAAAAATGAGAGAAAATACAGTCTTTTGGAATTAGAATTTAACTGAGAAATCAGGGTCAACATAAGATTTTTAACATAAGTTTTTTGTTTTTTCTTTTTGGGTCACACCGGCACTCAAGGGTTACTCCTGGCTCTGCACTCAGGAGTTACTCCTGGCGGTGCTCAGGGGACCATATGGGATGTTGGGAATCGAACCCGGGTCAGTCGCATGCTAGGCAAACGCTCTACCTGTGGTTCTACCACTCCAGCCCCTAATGTAATAAATATTCTAAAAAAATACCTTAGATGCAACAACAAATAACCAACAGCTGAAAAGCAGAATAGCATTTAAAAAAAAAATAAGACACTGGGTGGTCTCAGTAGACACAGAGAAGGTAAGAATGAGTAAAGAATGGGGTTTGTCTAAATGAGTACAAAGGTATAAAGGAAAAATAATAAAGACATAAAGAGAAAAGAAAACAGATGGTAATCTCAGAAAAAAAAAAGTGCGGGGTAATCTGTAATGGGAATATAAGAATATAGCCAAGAGTTTAGAGTCTTGGTTGAGGGGATGGGGGCAGGAGGCACTGAAGATGCTACATACATAATCCTAACGCCACTGGAATATTTAAGAATTCTTCTTTACATTAAAAACTGTGCTAAAAAGATTTATTACAATGAAAACATGGAACATAATGATAGCACTGTAGCACTGTCCTCCCGTTTTTCATTGATTTGCTCGAGCAGGCACCGGTAACATCGCACAACAAATTGTGAGACTTGTTACTGTTTTTGGCATATCAAATACGCCACGGGGAGCTTGCCAGGCTCTCCGAGAGGGGCGAAGGAATCAAACCTGGGTCGGCAGCGTGCAAGGTAAACACCCTACCCGCTGTGCTATCGCTCCAGCCCGGAACATAATGATAAAAATTTTTAATATTAGCTAGCTCAGAAAAAAAAAGGCAATGAGCAAGCAAAAAATTAAAACTCTAAGAACCAAAATACATGAAATGAAATCAGAAATGTCTTGACTGCATTTGCAGTGGGCAACTCAGTATGACAGCTTCTACTCATTCCCACCACCTCATACAGAAAAAAAAAAAGGAATATGGATTTATTCATACTGAAGGCAATAATTAAACAATTATTGTTTTTCTTAAATTCACTACTGCAGCACTAAATCAAATCAGAAGTTTCAAAGTAAACTGACCAGAAGATTTATAACTTAAGCTACAACAAAGCAGAAAACTTAGTATTAAATTATCATAAAAAGCAAGAGCTGAACTGAACTTGACTGAAATCTAAGTTGATTCCCTCTACAAGATTTTAAATGCACCCAATCAATCTAGCTGATTACCAGAAAAATTCCACAGATAATAGACAAAGGAAAATTCTAAGATATTTTACCCCTTCACACACTACTGATAATGATTGATAATAAGGAAGGTACTGACCTAGTTGGGATTTTCTATTAGACATAGATTTTTTTAACTCAAGGTTAACATTAAGTCTAATTATTAATTGGTCCTTACCTAATATCAATAAATGCTAATAACGAAAATTTCCATAGCATACAACCCTAAGTCATATCCTATAGCCCCCAATAACAAGTGCTTTAAATTTTAATCTATCTTTTCTAATCTTTCCTGAGAAAACTATCAATACTATTTAAGTATTCTAAATATATGATTCTAAATATATTTAAATTCTAAATATATTCACATTAAATTTAAATCATATATTTAAATTAAATATATTTAATTTAAATATATGATTCTAAATATATTTAAATTGCACTTGATCTTTCTAATGAAGCACACAAATTGCCATGCTCTCAACATTTTTTTGTATGGCAGTAATATACTTTTTCTCTTTCCACTCTCCCATCTTTCAATATTCAAATTTTGGATCAACCCAAACTGAACCAAATATAGTTTTAAAAAAGTTTCTGAGAGATTGATAGCTTCTAATACTTTAAAATTCTAAAACTTAGATGTCATGCTTGCTTTATCCGAGTGAAAACTCAGTCTTTAAGATTCTAAGTTGAAATCTGCAGCAATAAAAGACATTTCTATCTGTGAAAAGATGTAGCAATAGTGAATAGGGAGGGTAAATTAAGGAAGAAAAAGAAACCGTGATTGCAAATTATTTCTCTGATGCTAAGTCATGAAAAGGATTCTTTACATCTCTGAATTATATTTAAACTAGATGAAAATTTGATCCATCTTTAAGCTGAATCAAATACTCAAGACCTTAGCACATAATCTACATCTAATCATCTTCCTAATAGACAATAAGAATTGGAGACAAATCAAAAGGTCAAAATCACGTAATACAGTTCCTTAATTAGACTATCAGATGAATTCTCAAATGTAAAGGTAAAATGAAGGCCTGAAATATAATCATTTCAGGAATATGCCAGCATATAAAAAGAAAGCTAGTTCAAGGTCATTCTTTGAGCACTGTATGAGATTTCTAAAATCATTCAAGCGTTAACCAAAAGCTCAAATTTTACCACAGTAATGTAAATCAACTTTATTAGATATTAAAATCAAATACAGTCTTGTGACAGTGAAATCTGACTGAAGAACACAAATAAGGAAATTAATAGTATTTTTTTCTTTCAGTCAAGTATTGAAAGAGTCACTGAAATACACTGTCAATTCTACTGAATTTCTCCTTCACTTAGAACACTTGTGCAACCTTTTTTTCTAAATATATTTTTCTTTTCCCCTTTCTTAACAAGTAACATGATCAATATAGTGCTGGCCATATTCTCACAGCAAAATGACACAATAAATATAATACCATAAAAAAAAATAACACAACAGAATGCCCTATCATCTACATTGAGGGGTGAGTTCGAACACAATTATATAACAAACTGACATTATCTTGAAATCTATAATGCATGCTTAAGAGTAACATGCTTAAATAAAGGTTATTAAAATCTCCTCTAAGGTATATTTAACATCTAACTCAAGGTTAACACAAGGTTAAAAATCCTCTACATAAGTTGGGCCAGACCAATAGTTGAGCAGGTAAGGCATTTGCCTTGCAAAATTGATCCCTAGTACTCCACTCTGTTCCCTGAGCACCACCAGGAGTGTTCCCTTAGCATAGCCAGTAATAAACCCTGAGCACTGCTAAATATACCTACCCACCCTCCCCCATCAAAATAAAGAAAAGCAAAAAAAAAAAAAATTAAAAGTTGAGGTCTTGTTTTAAAGATGGGGATGAGAAACCCATCTGATGTTCCAGGATTTAATTTTTAATACACAAGCAAAGAGCTAGGGCTACAGAGCACTCAGCAGTACCAATAGGTTCTTAAAGGTCTTTTCCCTGTATGTTTCTCATTCAAACCACAACCCTATGATGCATGTGTAAAACAGACCTGTGAACTCACTCAAGATGATTGATATTGAAGTCAACTGGGACCTAAGCCCAAGACTGTGTTTGTAAGGTCTAAAAAATTGTTACTGCTATTGTTTTGGGCCATACCTGGCAGTGCTCAGGGCTCACTCCTGGCTCTGTGCTCAGGGATCACAAAAAAGAAAGAAATTCCTCCAACTGCCTCCTGCTGCTTTTAGAATAAAACCCACACAGATCCACTGGCTTCAAGGTCCTCCCCACGCCTCATTTCATTCTTCTCTTCACTCACAAAGCAACAGTCACGCTGACTTCTTTTCTGGTCCAATGTGTCAGGTCCTTTCCTGCCAGTCTATGCTTGACACACCCTTCCATGTGTGATCCTACGTGTTATCGTTTTAGACTGCACTCAACCTGAACAACACTCTCAATAGCATTTCCCAGTCATTTTTCCACCTGCCACAATGCAGCTTCTACATTTTACTCCTCTATAAATCCAGGAAAAATTCCATTATACTAAAGGCGGAGTAGATGAGCAGTATGGTTCATAAATAACAGATTGAAAAATATACATAAGAATATTTAAAAAGCTTATGCCGGGGCTGGAGCAATAGCACAGCGGGTAGGGCGTTTGCCTTGCACACGGCCGACCCGGGTTCAATTCCCAGCATCCCATATGGTCCCCTGAGCACCACCAGGGGTAATTCCTGAGCGCAGAGCCAGGACTAAATCCTGTGCATCGCTGGGTGTGACCCAAAAAGCAAAAAAATAATAATGATAAAATAAAAAATAAATAAAAAGCTTATGCCATTTATATATTTCATAAATCAAGTATTAATGATATAAAAAAGTAGGAAAGTAACAAAATACGAACAAAACAGTGAATAGAATCAAAGAACTACTATGATTTAAAAAGCAGGCAGTTGCTAATTAGATGGATATATATAATTACTAATAATTCTCAAACTCAAGCAAATGTTTTATCTATGCAGACATAATAAAAGAACAAAAATATTTAAGAACATCTTTTTATTTCATAGTGAATCATGTTGCAGAATATTCTTCTTTCATTTAAGCAGCATCCCTTATGCAAATGTTTTCAGAATGCGTATATGAACAAAGAGCGTAGGTTATGACAGCCTTAAAATCTTTCCACTATTAAAAAAACACTGAACATTTTATATGACTTTTTTTTTTTTTTTGCTTTTTGGGTCATAGCTGGTGATGCACAAGGGTTAATCTTGGCTCTGCACTCAGGAATTACCCCCGGCAGTACTCTGAGGACCATATAGGATACTGGGAATTGAACCCAGGTCGGCTGTGTGCAAGGCAAACACCCTACCCGCTGTGCTATTGCTTCAACCCCACATTTTCTATGACTTTACATGACATTTTCCAGTTTAGCATAGAATTTACAATGTACACCCTATGCAGCATCAACCTCCTATCTGTCCTACTCACCAATGTCACTTATATTTACATATTTACTTGGTCAGTAATAAAACTGTATCCAACAAGACCATAAAAAATAGGATATGAAAATCTACATGTGGGCACTGGAGAGATAGTACAGTGGGTAAACTGCTTGCCTGGCAGGAAACAACCTGGCTTTGATCACCAGAACTACATATGGTCCACTGAGCTCAGCCAGGAGTGATCCCTGAGCACAGAGCAAGGAGTAAACCCCAAGGATCTCTGAATCTGGCCCAAAAACAAATTAAAAAAATTAAATCTACATTCAAGTTAGTCTAAAGTGAATCTTTTTTGTCAACTTTAACCTGCTGGGAGGCAAACCACTGTCACTGCCACTGTCCTACCGTTGTTCATCAATTTGCTTGGGCGGGCCCAGTAATGTCTCCATTGTGACATTTGTTACTGTGTTTAGCATATTGAATACATCACGGGTAGCTTGCCAGGATTTGCTGTGTGTGGGAGATACTCTCCGTAGCTTGCCAGGCTCTCCAGAGGGGTGAAGGAATCGAACCTGGGTCGGCCAGGTCAGTCATATGCAAGGCAAACGCTTTACCCGCTGTGCTATCGCTCCAGCCCGGGAGGCAAACCAGAAACGAATAATTCCCTAGAGCAATGCATTTTTGAAGATGATTTATATTTTTCAAAATAGAACCACAATTGTAACTAATTTGAGAAACTACATATTTGTCTTCTTGGTGACTTCAGCATTTAAAAAGTGTAGCGTAGTATCAACATTTATTTTACTTACCAAGTCATAGATTTGATTTGCCAACTGCACCTTCTCATCTGCATCTTCCAAAGCTTTATAATAATCCTGAATAAGAAACAACACTTTCATTTCAAGAATAATTTTGAAATATGTATATCCAGGACACTCAACTGCATTTTAATTATGATACTTTGTTATCAACTGTCAGTCTTCTTACATTAGCAATGAAACACAGATAGGGACTGGGGTAGCACTGTAGCACTGTCCTCCCGTTGTTCATCAATTTGCTCGGGCGGGCACCAGTAACGTCTCACAACAAATTGTGAGACTTGTTACTGTTTTTGGCATATCGTATGTCACGGGTAGCTTGCCAGGCTCTGCCGTGCAGACGAGATAGTATTAAAAATTATGGAAAAGAGCCTAGAATTAAAGGAAGATGTTCAGAAATTCTAGAAAAGATATAAAATATAAATGGGGTGAGAGGGGCCCACATCAGGGAATGCTCAGGGGTTTCTCCTGGCTGGGTCCTCAGGAATCACTCCTGGTGGTACCATGGTACATAGGATGCCAGGGATTGAATCTAGGTCAGCCATGTGCAAGGCAAGCACCCTACCCGCTGTATTATCTCTCCAGCACCAACACCACCCCCCCAAAATAAAAACCCTAGTTAAGTACCGTTCTAACTCTAGCCTCTTATAATAGCATAATGTACGTGAACGAATAGTTCTTTTAAAAAAAAATAATAATTTTTACCTAATTTTTATACCATTTAACAAACATGTTAATGAAAGTGTAACTATAAAGAATATTCCAATCTGCATGTCGCTACTTCGTAAACATTCTGTTTTAACTTCTATAGCAATTCATACAACTCAATTCATACTTTAAGTTCCTCCTCAGCACAAAACTAGTTATTTGAAACAACAAAAGAAGTCTATGAATTTCCACGGCATACCAGACTTTACAGGGTATATCCAAATTGCACCACACCAAAAACTGAAAAGGTTTAAGGGGATGATGAATGACCTTGAGGTGAATATGTGACAACCATACTCAGATACCTCGAAACCTCCAAGTATTCTCCCAGCAAGGATTCTTTTATAGGTTTTTAATTATCTTTCTTCTTGTAGAAACAATCCCCACTACTATCCATGGCAAACTAAATACATAAGTAACACAACTACTCTAAATCTGATGATTTAAAATTTCTTTCTCAGTTAATCCCTGAATAATCCTCTGTGGATCAGTGGTGAAATAGTTATTATTTAGCACTATTATATTAAAGGGCTGATCTATTATCCCACAGTGAAGAAGCAAAATCATGACAAAAACCCATGTCTTATGTATTTCTTCCAATGTCTCCCCTCCCCACCAAAACACTAGATCAAACTGCTTTAAAGATAATCTAAAAAGGAGAGATGATATTCATCCTAGTGTAGAAAAGTTGCCATGATACTAATGAAAATTCAAAGAATTTGGGACCAGAGCAGTGGAACAGCCAATAAGATATTTGTTTTGTACATGGCCAAACCAGGTTTAATTTCAGGTACCCCATATAGTTCCCTGATCCCTGAGTACTCAATCAAGAGTAATCCCGGTGCACTGCCAGGTATTTCCCCAAAAAACAAAGCAATACAAAGAATCCTATATTCCTAGGCCTAATTCAAATGCAAATTTAGAATGTTAAACTATTTATTAACCCCATCTTAAGATCCTGCAATAATTCCACCAACTTTGGTGGCTAGCAATATATATAATATGCTTCAAAGTCTACTATATTTTACCCATTTGTAGCCTAATTGTAAGTGTCATATATCTAAAGAGAAGAAATTATTAATTACCTATCAACTGAAATAAAACAAATTAAGAGGAAAAGAATACTTTGTGGTTTTTCACTTTCTGGTAAGTTGCTAATCACTGAAACAATTTTAAATTTACAAAAATGTTACAAACATTAAAGATTCCTTTAGCTGAAGCCCTAGAACATAATAATTTAAACTTTGAGGAATTATAGATAACCTGTTCTCATTTTGATGTCAAAAAAATCTAAAATATTATAATATCATTTTCAGACCCACTATTCACTAAAGAAATAAATAAATACCCCAGTGCTGAACATACTTTTTTGATGGAAGCCATTTGTTCTTCTCTCCACTCTGGTTTGTTTTTCTTTGCATTCATGAAGAATTCACTGACTCTTTGCTCTAGCTGATCCATTGCATCTAGAGCAAATGATAAAAATATGACAAAAACATTTCACGTTTATATGACGAAATTCATACACTGAATATAAATGCTGTGGTATGGGGAAAGAAAAATATATCCATGTACTCTACTTCACATAGCCAGAATTATGCTGTGATTTAAATATGCTGATTATCTAAATACCGACTGCCTTAACTACCATAATGAAAAATATTAATGATTGCCCCATGGATTATTTGTTCTTATAGTTATTATTTCAAAAGTTTTTGTAAGAGTCAAAACAGAGTCATGAAGTAGATTTTTACACCAGTTTTCGAATAGTAGTATGTGTTTAAAAAGCTTCTAATTGAAAAGTGCCACTAAATAATCCATATGTTTTTGCTAATAGGAAAAAGGAGGAGTGGGATATATGTCTCAAAGGGTGACACATAAGCACATGATGACATATGCAAGACCTAGGCCCGATGCCAGGGAACACACGTAACCCCACTGCACAGCAGGGCAAGGCCAACGCTACTAAACCCTGGCAGAGCAGTTTACAGGGCTGGGTGGCATCCCAAGTATTCCAAGAGGTGCCACTGATCAGAGCCCTGAGAAAAGATAAAATCAAAGAGAAGAAAATAAATATTTTAATATGAGGTTATAGGACACTAATAGATGTCACCTCATATCATAAATTAGAAATCAGTAGGTAAATCATTTATTAAGACATTATATTCTATGGAGCTCTGGCAGCCGAAGATCTCCAGAACCAGCCACAACCATGCTGAAACCACTCTCCACACGCATGAAGGTACCGGCAGAGGAACAAAGGCATGTGGGTTCCGGGGCTGAGATCTCCAAGCCTGCTCGGATCAGGGCTGAGCATCCTCCACCCAGATCCTCCATCTTTCAGTAGGCAGGGGTCACACCCACCAACTGGCCCCCAGCCACACGTAATCCCATCAACGGCCAAGACACAGAGACTATAAAACTCAGCTCCCGGAAGCGCATGGCCGCATTTGCAGCCGCCCGACATCTTATCATCACATTCTTACTTTGGACAACCTGGCAGGCTACCGAATGTAACCTGCCCACAGGGCAGAGTCTGGCAAACTCCCCATGGCGTACCCAATATGCCAAATACCAGTAACAATGATGGGTCTCATTCTCTTAACCCTGAAAGAGCCTTGAATATGGCACTTTTTAAAATCTCAGGGCTAAATGCCCTGCCACAGAGGCAGGGTGGGATGGGGGGGATAAAGGGTGGGAGGGATACTGGGATCCGTGGTGGCAGGAAATGGGCACCGGTAGAGGGAGGGGTATTTGATCATTGTATAATTGAAACCTAAGCACAAAAATGTGTAAGTCTGCAACTGTACCTCATGATGTCTATTAAAAAATTTTTAATAAAAAAAAAAAAAGACTCTGACAGGGCCAGAAAAATAAATCTCAGGGCTAGGACAAAGGAGACGTTACTGGGGCCTGCTCGAGGCAATCAACAAACAACAGGATGATCGTCATATATTCTATGGGGCCAGAGTGATAGCATAACGAGTAGGTGCCTTGCACGCAGCCATCCTGGGTTCGATTCCTCTGGCCCTCTCGGAGAGCCTGGCAAGCTACCAAGAGTATCTCACCCACAAGGCAAAGCCTGGCAAGCTACCCATGGAATATTCAATATGCCAAAAACAGTAACAACAAGTCTCACAAACATTACTGATGCCCGCTAGAGAAAATCGATGAACAACAGGAGGACAGTGCTATATTCTATGGAAGTTTTTCTCATAATCTACATTAAGAAAAATCATTCCTGGGGTTGAGAAGATAGTACAGTGGGGAGGGTGCTTGTCTTACAAGTGGATGACCTGGGTTCAATTCCCAAGACACCAGATGGTTCCCTGAGCCTTGCCAGGAGTGATCCCTGAGCACAGAGCTAGGAGTTAAGCCCTGAGCACCACTAAGTGAGGAAATAACAAAAAAGAGAAAAGAATAGAAAAAACATCATATCCTGTATATGCTAAACAAAAAATAAAGGAAAACCTGTTCTTCTGTAGCTGAGGAAAATCTTTCTATAACATACTCTTCTATAAGAATTTTCCAGTACAGAATGGTTTTTGAAGGATCCTGAGAAGTGTTATGGTAAATTCTTTTTAAAGATTTTTTTCTTTGTTAAAAGTTCCTGTGTGCCAGACCAGTAGTATACCAAATAGTTCAATCCCTGGCACCACTACGATCCTAAACCCCCAGAAGTGATTCCTGTGCATAGAGCCCTGTGCAAGACCATAGATGCACAACACCCCCTGCAAATAAGTAAAAACGAAGTTCCTGATTTATCTGAAAAAGATGTCTATTGTTCTTTATATTCACTAACTTTAGAGATTCTAATTATAAAAAGCAAAGCTTAGCGAAACTAACATAAATCTATACAAATCACAAGAGTCTTCTAAGTTTTTAGTGGTGACAACGAAGTAACAGCTACCTATTATTAAATACCAACCTTACAGCAGATATTATCCATTCCAATTCAACTGTATTACTCTTATGCATTAGATGACTCTTACTGTACAAATAACTAAGTCACCCTGAAGTGATAATGTGGATAAGATCAATGTATATTTAGCAAAGCTCTAAAGTACATCTGACATCACAGTACATCAAAACCTATGCTCAGGGGCTAAAGAGGTAACACAGCAGGTAGGGCATTTGCCTAGCACGTCCAGCTTGGGTTCAATCCCCAGCACCCCAATATGGACCCCTGACTCCACCAAGAGTGATCCCTGAGCACCCAGGAGTAAGCCCTAAGCACTCCCAAGTGTGGCCCAGGACCCCCAAATAAATCTATGCTCAATCATGCAGAAAACATTACTTAAACCATTTTTTAATATTTCAACTTCATTAAACAGAACAATGTAAACTAGAAAGGGAAAACTAGAATTTAGACTTCCACATTCCATTCACTAAATAAAAGGTAGATTCCATACCCAGCACCCCAATATTTAAGTGACACATGAAATTGGTTAAGAGGCTCAGAAAAGTATTTTCACAAGCAAAACTATGGAACTATATGCCTTGGTGGGCAGTGAGGATCAAGCTACTGTAGGACATTCATTCGCCCCTGGCAATGTCTGGCTCACTGAGCTCTTTCCATTTTTTTCCTTTGCACTTTATCACATCTCAAAACACAGATCTACTTCTGCCCCTACTTTTGTAATCTCCAGAAGGAAACATTTAGGTATATGGCCTTAAGAAACATATTCCACAGATGTACATTATGAACACCTGTCATTGTATTATGTGAGAAATTAGAAGGACCTACATTGTTTTCAAATGAAAGTGACAGTTATTAAGGTCACTTTATTATAGATTTGAATTATGTACCCTGGAATTCATTTCAAATTGTGAGCTCTTATTTGGGTTATTTTGTTTTGGGGGTGAGTTTTTTTTGGGGGGGGAGGGGTGCTTGGAACTCACACCCGGTGGTGCTCAGTGATCACTCCTGGTGGAACTCTGGGGAACTTACATAGAGCCAGGAATCAGACCATGATAGCAGCATGCAAGGCAGGTGCCTTCACCCCTGTACCATCTCTGTCCCCAACAAATTGTTCGTTTCTCAAAATTATACCACAAGATAGTTTGATGACTATATTTCTTTCACTAGAAGTCCAATGCGCTATCCATTGCGCCAAAGAGCCACCTGTGCACCTGTCCACTACAGGGCTGGAGCTATAGCACAGCGGTAGGGCGTTTGCCTTGCACGCAGCCCACATGGCAGACCCGAGTTCGATTCCTCCACCCCTCTCGGAGAGCCCAGCAAGCTACCGAGAGTATCTCGCCCGCACGGCAGAGCCTGGCAAGCCACCTGTGATGTATTCGATATGCCAAACACAGTAACAACAAAGTCTCCAATGGTGGCGTTACTGGGCCCACTCGAGCAAATCGATGATCAACGGGAGGGCCTTTACTTTACTTACTTAATTTCTTTCACAGAAAAGGAAGGTTTTTGAAGTTCTTTCAGAACATGATGTATAGAAATGTGGTGCTTGGAACTTTTTGTTACTGGTTTAGTTTTGGTTTTAGGGTCACACATGAGGCTCTAGTGATTCTGAAGGGCTGGGAATTGTTCAGGGGATCATGAGATGCTCAGGGTACAACCAGACTGCATGCAAAGCAGGCCTTAACCCTTAGCCCACTGAGCTACCTTTCTGGCCCCAACTGTTGTGGCTTTTATGTTTAATTTTGCTCTAAGCATGATTTCCTGTCTCCAAGATTTCTCATTGCATATGAATATAAATCCTTTAAGGAATCATAAGAGAAGGGGGAAAAAATGCTATGAATTAAATACAACAAAAAAGCAAGGTTAATTCTGGGGGACATCATTGGATCACCAAGCTACCACTGATAGAAGAAAAGGGGGGGGGGGGGGAAATGTTATTACAGCTGCACTGCAAACTATTTATTTCCCTTACACATTCTCACTGAGAAAACCCCATGAAATACCATAATTGAGAATGTATTCAATAATGTGTAACTGCAGATGGGGACATTCCCAGTTATCGGATCCTCAAGTACCTGTTATTCTAGATGTTTTCTTCTCTAAAAAATATTTTAAACAGAATCCACTTTTACAAAAGCATAAATGCTAAAGTAATCTATGTGCTACCCATTTTAGCTGCGGGGGGGGGGAATCTTGACATCGATGTCGACAGGCACTTGAAACGTGCATGCATCTACATTCCCAGTGATGCTATTTAAAAAAAAAAAAAAGCTTCTGCACACTAGGAACGTAGCAAAAGGCAAAAGACATACTCATCCTTCCTCTTGCAAAAAAAAAAAAAAGTCACTAGGAAAGTAGCATTAAGAGATAAGAAGAGGCAGGAATCCGTGTTGCTGGATTTTTCTTTTTTTTTCCCCGGACAACTCTGGCGAAGTACTATCAGCGCGCGGGATGCAAAAGAAAAGTCTTAACTAGGAGGAGGCGCCCGCGACGAAGGAAGAAAAAAAAACAAGCTTTCCCCGGCACCGACGACGCGCTGCGAAAGGCGGGCGAACGCGCCGACTTACTCTGCACCTGCAGGTCCATCTCGCGCATCTCCGTGAAGCGGTCCCGCAGGTCCATGGGCAGCTGCTCAATCACTGTCAAAAAAAGAGGAGTCGACGTCACAGGGGCGGGGCCAACGGCGAAAGGACGCGCTGACGTCGTGCGCGCGTGCGTGCGTCCGTGCGTGCGTCGGAGAGGAGGGGGGAGGGAGCCGGCAGCCCACAGCGAGGCTGCCAGTTACCGTGAGAAAGAAACACCCCCCCCCCCCGCCCCGCGCCTCCCCCCCTCCCTCCCGCCCTCCCTCCCGCTCGGTCCACTCGCGCTCCTGCCCGCCCCCAGGTCCCCCCCGACGGGACCCCCGCTCCAACGCCGCCCACTCACTTTCTAGATAGTCCTCTAGGTACAACATCGCGGCCTTTCAAGCGGAGGGTGGGAGCGCAGGGGTCCAGGGGTTTATTTGTGTCACTCGCGGTCGCTGGAGTTTTGTCCCTTCCAAGATGGCGCCTCCGCTAGCAGCACCCGCTCGGCTTCGGAGGGAAAAAAAAAAAGAAAAGAAAAAAAAAAACACTTGGGGCGCCTGACGGCGCTTGCCTCACTGCCGCCCGGAGCTGTGATTGGCTGGCGGCGGGCCTGACGCGAGCCGGCCGGGGCCCGCCCCCGTGCCGTTGTGGGAAGTGTAGTTTCCCGGGCGGCCCCGGCGGGAGCGCGCGCGCCGCGGCCGCTCTGCGCGGAGACTACACGGACCGGGGGCCTTTGCGGGACGGGGCGCCGCGGAATCCGAAATGCGCTGCCTCTGTTTATTTGTGGATTTCGAGGCCGGGCGGGATGACGGGAGTTGTAGTAGGCGCCCGACGGGTTCCCCCCCCCCCCCCCACTCCCGCCTTAACTCGGGAACAACTTTTCAACCTGTTCTGGACTGCGGCTGTGGAATCCACGTCCCAGGCGTTGGGCGAGCGAATCGTGAGGGTTCTGACGCTAGAATGCTCCGCGAAGTTCGGGGATGGGGATTGTGTCAAGGCACCGTTCTGCCGCCGGGATTTTTTTTTTTTTTTTTTTGTGCCTCGGGTGTCTACTCCTTAAAAAAAAAAAGGAAATAAGGATTTCTGGTTTGTAACGGAATGTTGACTGAAGTTTAGGTTAAGAATAATAGAGCTTATATATATGTATATACTGATATATATATATACACATATATATTTCCCATACTAAAAGCTGTACAAGATCGCTTTCAGGAACCTCTTTTTCTATTCTGTTTTATGCTGTCCGTCTCGATGTCATTCTAATGTTATCGACCTAACTTCCTTGCTCTCACTCACACCACCAGCCCCTCAAAAAAAATAAAAAAAGCAACCAGAAAAATCTGCTGGAGTTGAGTATCGAAGTCCTAGCAGCATCTTTAAATGGTTTGGAGTACATTGTCCAAATGAGATCTTTGCACACCAGAGCGTTAGCTTTATTAAACTTGGACTTCTCGCCCAGCCAGTGCACTCTTGTGCATTCCAGAGGTGCACTGCTCGCTCGCAGGCTTTACCTTAACATCTCTTGAACTCAGTGTGTGTTGAGCATCGTTACTGTCCACCTGCTTTCCTCTTCTTTCCCGCCAACCCCCCGCCCCACCCCGCCTGGGGAATTTTCTGTTACGTTCTTAATTTGGTGTTTTCTTATATATTTTTTTTTCAGTTTGAAGGTTAAACACTAAACATTTGAGTTTCCTGTTTCCCCCTCCTTTAGCGTACCCAAGACTTTCGATGCTCTTAAGATAATTAGCTGTATTATAGAATAATGTAAAAGATACCTCGCTTCAATATTAATACATAGCTTATTATCTCTAACATCTAATGCCTCATTCATCTTCACTCCCTTCCTCCCTCCCTTCCTTCTTTCCTGTTGCTATTATCAGTGTCTATTTTAACAATTTAACAGTGATGAATCTCGGTTTGATATTCCTCCCACCCGTAAAATAATATGTATATATTGTTTGGGTTCTAGAGAAGATTCTTAAGTTTAAGAATTGGGGTCCTTCAACAGTAAGGGAATATTCTCTTAACTGTCTTCAATATTGCTTATTTCCCATTTTGTCCATGATCTCTTTTAAACATTTTCAGGACACCCCTAAGACTTTTACTTTGCCCTACATTTACCTTAGTCTTTCTTTCACATGTTTGATCGGAAATTTTTGAATACTTTTCAGATTTAGGAATTTTGGTTCTCCCTTTGCTCGAGCGGGCCCAGTAACGTCTCCATTGGAGACTTTGTTGTTACTGTGTCTGGCATATCGAATACTCTCGGTAGCTTGCCGGGCTCTCCGAGAGGGGTGGAGGAATCGAACTCGGGTCGGCCATGTTGGCCGCTTGTAAGGCGAACAACCTACCGCTGTGCTATCACTCCCTTTGAGCAATTTTCTAATTTCATACATCACTAAGCATAGTCTATATTCTCTCAATCTTTTTTTTTTTATTTTAGGCACACGATTTACAAAGTTAATAGAATTTCAGGCATACAATGTTCCAAGTTGAAGCCTATCACCAGTCTCAGCATTCCTCCACTAATTAATGACCCAAGGTTCGCTCCCTCCCCAATCAGCCCTCTTAGCAAATTTTTAAAAAAATTCTTATAGTTTGGGTCACATGCTTACTCGTATTGACTCTTGGGATATTGCTGAACATCTTTTTTTTTTTTTTAATTTTTACTAGTGAAGCACCATGAGGTACAGTTGTAGACTTACAAATTTTTGTGCTTGGGTTTCAGTTATACAAAGATGGAGTACTCATCCCTCCACCAGTGCCTATTTCCCACTACCAGGGATCCCAGTATCCCTCCCACCCCCCCAGTTCTCCCCTTCATCCCACCCTGCCTCTGTGGCAGGGCATTCCCTTTTGTTCTCTCTCTCCTTTTGGGTGCTGTGGTTTGCAAAAGAGGCATTGAGTGGCAATTATGTTCGGTCTATAGTCTACTTTCAGCATGTATCTCCCATCCTGGGAGGATCCTCCCAACACCATTTATATGGTGCTCCTTTCTCTGAGCTACCTTTTCCCCTAGCATGTGCGGCTGGCCTCCAAGCCATGGAGTAAACCTTGTGGTACTTATCTTGGCTGTTCTTGGGTGTTATCTCCTATTTTGTTACTTTATGTTCCCCAGATGAATACAATCTTTGTATGTCTGTCCCTTTCTTTCTGACTCATTTCACTTAGCATGATTTTTTTTTTTTTTTTGCTTTTTGGGTCACACCCGGCAATGCACAGGGGTTATTCCTGGCTCTGCACTCAGGAATTATTCCTGGTGGTGCTCAGGGGACCATATGGGATTCTGGAAATCGAACTCTGGTCGGTCACGTGCGAGGTGCAGTGCTATTGCTACAGCTCCTTAGCATGATACTTATGATACTTTCCATGTAGTACCACTTGTATTTAAATTTCATGACTTCATATTTTCTAACAGCTACATAGTATTCCATTGTGTAGATGTACCAAAGTTTCTTTAACCAGTCAACTGTTCTCAGGCACTCAGTTTTTTCTAGATTCTAGCTATTGTAAACAGTGCTGCAATGAACAAACAAGTGCAGATGTCACTTCAACTATACTTTTTTGCCTCTTCACCACTGTGTCAACGAAGTGACCAAGACCCTTGATCGATTATCCCTCAGTCCTCTTCATCCTGCCGGCCCCCTCCCATGGCTTTAAGTTGACTGTATCTCTGTGCTCCATTATTTCTAGCTTTACTTCTGCTGGAGGTGAGGTTTAGACTCCATATTCGTATTTCTTGGGTTATTACTGTGGGAATCTTTGAGACCAGAGTTAAAATTTAGTATTTGAGAGAATTAAAACGTACTCTTTTTTTCTATTCATTTTTGAAATTTGTTTGGAGGTACCAGAGCTCTAGGAGTAGGTTAAACGCTACACTTGATTTTTACCGGATTGCACAGTAGATGGAATTGGGCCAAGTCCAAATGCTTGTCGCATATTCTCAGGGGAGACATTTTATCCCTTTCTGGGCTCCAGGGTCAAAACTGGCTTATTTCTTTACTGACTTTTTGCATCAGGTTACTCGTTTTCCCTATTTACACTGGAAATGGAGCCCTCTAGGGTCCCAGGTTTTGTTGGTTTTTGTTTTCTTTTGTCTACTATTAAGCTTATTTTTTGGTCTTTATTTCCTGACCCTGGCATACTGCACATCTATCAAAGCAGACATTTCTAGATGCCCGGATCTGACAGATAACCCCTTAGCAAAAAGTCCATTTTGATTCATTTATTTTGCAGGAGATTGCTCATTTCTCCTCTTCCTTTCCCCATCTGAATTGTCATTCCTACCAACTCATTAATGTATGAGAGTATTTAGCTATCATTGTCTTCTTTTTTTACATGTAAAACATTTATTGTTTACCAAAAATGCATTTTCATTGTATAACTAACAAATTAGAAAATAGCTAATAAAATCCTCTTTTGCTTCCAACCCCTATATATTTTTTATTTTTTTTTGCTTTTCTCTGTAGTAACATTGTTTTATGAAAGTGTAAATGTGTATGTGTGTTAGAGTTACAGTGTTAGCACACCTAACCCAGTTAAGTTGAGCCCTGTCTATGTCTATGGCCTTTTCCCAAACTTCATGATAATATCCCACATTGACAATGCCAGATCATATTAGACTCTGAGCAATTAGAGGTCCATTTTATTTGTTCTCTTTAAAAAATGTAGATTTTCAGTGGGGTGTTGAGTGATCTTTTTTTCCTGAAAAGGGTGATATGGCAAATAAGTTTAGGCACCTCTGACCTAAGTGTTTTTAAAAAATTAGATATTGTCTATTCCTATGTTTTATTTATTCATGTAACATATGTGTGAGATTATATGGTGCTTGTCTTTCTCCTGATTTTTTTCAGAACTTAGCTGCCTCTGCTTCTGACTCTGTTTTAATAAAAGGCGAGGCTTCATCTATTTTTACATCTGAGTAGTTTTCATCTTGGATTGAGCACTTGCTTAGTTTCTAGATTTTAACTACTATAAATTGCACTGGCATGAACATATGGGGTGAAATATATTTTAAAGTTACTGTTTTTGTCTTCTCTGGATGATAATCAGGAGCGGAATTGTTGTATCACAAAGGAGTTCTATTTCTTTTAATAATATTTTTTAGGACATTATACTACACTCCATAGAGACTAGTTGAATTTATGCTACCATCAAAAGTGAATGGGATTTCCTTTCTCTCCATATCCCCATGGAATATGAAGAGAAAGGCCTAGTTCGTGGCCTGTTTTGGTAGGTTCTCAAGGTTTGGTTCTTTTGCTTTCTATTTCCCTGATAATCAGTGATACTGGGCATTGTGTGTGTGTGTGTGTGTGTGTGTGTGTGTGTGTGTTGGTCATCCCTATGGCTTCTTTGGTGAAGTATCCACTATTCTGAAAATCTCTCCATTTTCAATGAATTTTTTTGAGTTTTGGAATTCTTCATATAGTTTAAATATTAACAATTTGTCAAAAGTATGATACATGGATATTTTCTCCCATTCAGCAGAATATCTTTCTGTTAA